AATCCCAAGCCAGTGGGATTCAGTTTGCTGGTATCTTTGGGGGTGGGACCCACTGAGCCAGAACACCTGGCTCATCACCTTCAGCCCCCTTTCTCTCAGCGGTATGTGTAGCTCTGTCTCATAAGTGTTCCACTCACCAACCCAAAGGGCCACTCAGATTTGTGCTGGAAACCTGTGGCACCAGCTGAATCAGCTGCCCAGATTTGCAATGGAAACCCGCAGTGCCTGTTGGCCCGGTGGGAATCTCCTGGTCTGTGGGCTGGAAAGACCACAGGAGAAGTGCAGCATCCAAACCGGTGTGTCAGAGTGGCTGGAAACCTCCCCAATGGCCTCTGTTGGGTGGGGGGAGGTCCTCTGGGCCATTGCATTTGCCAGGTGATGCAGTGCCCCACAGTGCCTTGATTTGCTCTGCTTGGGCTACACCCACTATCCAACCAGTCCCATTGAGATGAACCTGGTACCTCAGTTGGAAATGCAGAGATTAGTCACCTTCTGCATTGCTCTCACTGGGAACTGCACTCTGGAGCTGTTCCTATTTGGCCATAATGGCAGAAGTCAACCCCATATTCTTTAAGAGCATACTCATCTGGCCATTATTTGACACATTTACTCAATCCTCTCTCCACTTCTTTTGTTGTTATGACAATCACTCAGAAATTTCTTGGAACACCATCTGCCAAAAGTCATTTACCATGTTTTGCAGGCAACCTTGTGTGGTAATGTAACTCTTTTTGGTGTTTGAATTGTTGCACTTGGTTTCAAATTCAGGCACGATGATATTTGCATTGATATAATCTGAAACAAACTCATTGGGATCACCGTCATTTAAGATAACCCTGGTATGATCAAAGGGCAGGGTGTTTTATATCCATTTTTGTTTTTGTTTTCTTACCTTTGACCCTCTTTTTGGCTGCAGAGAAGTGTGCACTCTTGTTGTTGTAGTGTCTCAAATTCTTCCCAAAAGCCTTGTTTGACTTTATCTGTGGTCTCAGCTAATTTGCTTAGTTCTCAAACTCTTTCTATTGTAACAGCATTTATATGAGTCATATTAAGGGGCTGCTTGAGTTGTAGTACTGTACAAAATGTTTCCACCATAGTATTCTTCTTGCAATGTTCCACAAGATCTGTCAAAGAATCAAACCATTCTCCTCCGTCAATGTCATATTTCAATTCTTGACAGCAAATCATGAAATGGGGTCACTTTAGACTTGCCATCATTACTTTTCCCTTTGTTTTCACTGGTGCGCACAGAAAGAACAAAATCTCTAGGGTGGCTCTGGCTCTCTTTTACATGAAAGCTACCATGCTTTCCTTTTTCAGTTAATAGTTTCTCTGCCTCTTTCCCAGAGAAGTGTCCATAAAAATCACCTTTCAGAGATAGGATCTGCACAGTTCATAGGATATTTATGCTCAATAACATCTCCATTCTTCTCTTTTAACTGCCCATGATGTCCCATGTTATATTGGATCAACTCAGCTAAAGTGACAAACTTCTTCCCTCCATACAGTTTATAATAATCACCAGTGTTCTGAATCTTTATGTGGATGACAGCTCCATTTCTTCTAGTAGAAAGTGTGAAGTCTCCAGGATTACTTTTGCTAGGCCTTGCCAAAAAACTGCCATCAACTCCTCTTGTCAACACTAGGTTTTCTGCCTCCACACCAGGGATATTTGGATGAAATAATCTCCATGATGTCATGTCCCTCCTGCCCTCCAGCTCTGCAATGGATCCCTCCTTGTTCAGGCTCCACTGGGCTTGGTCACATCAGGCTGGTCCAAGGGAGGCTTGCTCAGGACTGGAGGCAGGGCAGAGCCAGCTGGCCATGCACAAACCCCCCTCCAGGCCTGGGGATACTGGAGACTATGCAGCTGCCCCCAGGCCCAGCTCACTTCTCCTCCACCCCCTGGGAGCTCTTTAAATATAAAGTTTAATATCTCAAAATAATAAGAGCTATTTATGACAAACCCATAGCCAATATCATATTGAATGGGCAAAAGCTGGAAGCATTTTCTTTGAAAACCAGCACAAGACAAGGATGCCCTCTCTCACCACTCCTGTTGAACATTGTATTGGAAGTTCTGGCCAGAACAATCAGGCAGGAGAAAGACATGAAGGGTATTTAAATAGGAAGAAAGGAAGTGAAATTGTCTCTGTTTGCAGATGACATAATTGTATATTTAGAAAACCCTATTGTTTCAGCCACCGAATTCTTTAAGCTGATAAGCAACTTCAGTAAAGTCTCAGGACACAAAATCAATGCACAAATATCGCAAGCATTCCTATATACCAATAAGAGTCAAGCAGAGAGACAAATCATGAGTGAACTCCTATTCAAAATGACTATAAAGAGAATAAAATACCTAGGAATGCAACTTTCAAGGGATGTGAAGGACCTCTTCAAGGAGAATTACAAACCACTCTTCAAGGAAATAAGAGAGGACACAAACAGATGGAAAAACATTCCATGCTCATGAATAGAAAGAATCAATATTGTGAAAATGGCCATATTACCTAAAGTAATTTATAGATTCAATGCTATTCCCATCAAACTACCATTGACTTTCTTCTCAGAACTTTGAAAAAACTACTTTAAATTTCATATGAAGCAAAAAAAAAAAAAAAAAAGTCTGTATAACAAAGACAATCCTAAGTAAAAAGAACAAAGCTGAAGGCATCACACCACCTGACTTCAAACTATACTACAAGGCCACAATAACCAAAACAGCATGGTACTGGTACCAAAAACAGATATATATATACAGATCAGAGCCCTCAGAAGTAACACCACACATCCACAACCAACTAATCTTCAACAAACCTAACAAAAACAAGCAATGGGGAAAGGATTCCTTATTTAATAAATGGTGTTGGAAAAACTGGCTAGCCATGTGCAGAAAATAGAAACTGGACCCCTTCCTTACATATTATACAAAAATTAACTCAAGATGGATTAGAGACTTAGTGTAAGACCTAAAACCATAAAAACCATAGAAGAAAACCTAGGCAATACCATTTAGGATATAGGCATGGACAAAGACTTTGTGACTAAAACACCAAAGGCAATGGCAACAAAAGTAAAAATTGACAAATAGGATCTAATTAAACTAAAGAGCTTCTGCACAGCAATAGAAACTCTCGTCAGAGTGAACAGGCAATCTACAGAATGGAAGAACATTTTTGCAATCTATCCATCTGACAAAGGTCTAATATCCAGAATCCACAAGGAACTTAAACAAGTTTACAAGAAAAAAACAAACATCCCCATCAAAAAGTGGATGAAGGTTATGAACAGACACTTCTCAAAAGAAGACATTTAAGTGGTCAACAAATACATGAAAAAAAGCTCATTATCACTGGCCATTAAATAATACAAATCAAAACCACAAATACCATCTCATGCCAGTTACAATGGCTGTAATTAAAAAGTCAGGAAACAACAGATGCTGGCAAGAATGTGGAGAAATAAGAACACTTTTATGCTGTTGGTGGGAGTACAAATTAGTTCAACCGTTGTGGAAGACAGTGTGATGATTCCTCAAGTATCTAGAACCCGAAATTCCATTTGATCCAACAATCCCATTACTGGGTATATACCCAAAGAGTAGTAAATCATTCTACTATAAAGACACATGCACATGTATGTTTATTGCAGTACTATTTATGATAGCAAAGACTTGGAACAACCCAAATGCCCATCAATGATAGACTGAATAAAGAAAACATGGCATATATACACCATGGAATACTATGCAGCCATAAAAAAGGATGAGTTCATGTCTGTTTGAGGGACATGGATAAATCTGGAAACCATCATTCTCAGCAAACTAAAACAAAAACATAAAACAAAACACGACATGTTCTAACTCATAAGTGAGAGTTGAACAATGAGAACACACAGATACAAGGAGGGGAGCATCACACACTGGGGCCTGCCAAGTGGTGGGAAGCAAGGGGCAGGAGAGCTTTAGGACAAATACCTAATGCATGTGGGGCTTAAAACCTAGTTGACAGATTCATAGGTGCAGTAAACCACCAAGGCACATATATACCTATGTAACAAACTTGCACCTTTTGCACATGTGTCTCAGAACACAGTAAAATTTAAAATGTTTTAAAATACAAAGTTTATCAATCACTTGAATACAACAACTTTATTTTAGAGATCCTCCACCAACTCAGAAAACCTTTCCTATAATTTAAGTTATTTAGCTATTAAATAATAGACTTTGCCTAATCAATGTCAAATTTCAAATTAGTTAAATTTGAAGAATGATTAGAGATGATGGGCATTTAGTTCCCAAAGAAGAAAATTCAGTTTTGAAAAACTAATTTCAAATAAGAAACAAAAAACTCCATTTATCAATTTACTTTTTCTCTTTTTGCCTTACCTGGGATTTATATTTCAAATAAAAAGTTTTCATTTAATTTTTTGGCAAACGAATCTTTGTTAGACATACTATTCATTTATATTTGTTTTCCTTCTCATAAAAAACATTCTGCTTCTTACATTTATTTCCTCAAATACATGAATTTACCCACAATCTCTCTAGTTCCTCTCTACTGGCTCAACACATGATTCTTTCAGCTATTCATTATATATAAAAAGCTTTGAAATCTCCGATTATTCTCCTTTCTACCTCAGTGCCTTTGTTGTCTACAGACTTTGCAGACTGATGTGATTTCCTCTGAAACTTGAATTACTAGGTTTTTAAAAAAGTCTCTCTCTCTCTCTTTTTTTCCCCCAAAGTAAAGGCAAATAGGCTGTGAATGTAAATTTAGAATTTGAACAACCATTATTTAACCAGCTAGGTTGTCATTGGTCAATGCGGGATTAATATAATAGTGATGTGTTGATTTTATGCAAGCCGAGCACTTTTTTGCTGTTAAGGGAATTTGTAGGTAAGCTATTGCTTAAAATGTCAAACTATTACTATTTGTTAACAAAGTGTTTTATATCTAAAGTTTAATAGTATTTTAAAATTGTTTCTAATTCTTTAGCCTCACCCTGTGATCCCACTTTCATCCTGGGCTGTGCTCCCTGCAATGTGATCTGCTCCATTATTTTCCAGAAACGTTTTGATTATAAAGATGAGCAATTTCTTAACTTGATGGAAAGGTTGAACGAAAGCACCAAGATTTTGAGCACCCCCTGGCTCCAGGTAAGGCCAAGATTTTTGTTTCCTGAGAAACCACTTATACTATTTTTTTCTGACAAATCCAAAATTCTATATGAACCAAGCTCTGAAGTGCATTTCTGAATACTACAGTCATACCCAGACAACCATAGGGTGAATATCTGGGAAAGATGCCCAATCCTTTTATTTTATGCACAAGAAACAAATGCCCCAATATAGGCTTGGCTTCTAAGCCCATTAGCTCCCTGATCAGTGTTTTCTTCACTCAACTCCAAAGCCTTGTTTTTATGAAGTACTTTGGTGACAGCCCAAAAGCATGCCCATATCACGCCATGGACATCCAGGCACTTTGGAGGCTTCCATTACTCATAAGACTTGTTCTCCAATTCACACTTTGTCATATTATGTGGCAAATATCCTAATCTAAAAGACATTATCTCCTTCCAGGAGGGAGAATATTGGGACCATTGAAGCTTCCAAAAAACACTGAATAAGGCAGGGATGTTTGGTATCTCAGTTGGAATTCTAGCTGATGAGATAGCTGGGTTAGGAATGACAAAATTTTTGGTTTTATGGTGTATGAATCATAAACAGACATCACACTTTTACCCTGTGCTGAATTCGTGTGTTTTATACTCTACCTAAATAATAATTGTGTAATATTAAAGAAGTCATTTAACTGCTCCTGTACACATTTGGAATTTGAAGTATGTTTGAGCCCCTCCTACTACTAAAATGCTAATTTCATTTCAGAGGCTGCTTGATAGAAATCAACAAAGCAGGGACTAGCTTTGTACTATTAATCAGATTGTCCAAACTCTCTTAACCTATGCTGCCATCTACAAAATGCAAATGTATTAATTTATACTATCTTATATTTCAAGATTGTAGGGAAGAATTGTTGTAAAAAGTAAGAGAATTTATAAATATAAAGATGCTTTTATACTATAAACAGGAGGTATGAGTCTAGGAAATGATTATCATCTTTGATTTTCTGGTCAAAATTTTCTTCCTCAAATCTTTTATTATCAGAGAATTACTACATATGTACAATAAAAAATTTCTCTATCAAGATATACAATATATTTTATTTATATTTGTAGCTGTAATTTACAACCAGAGCATGGTATATGGTATATATGCATTTATTAAATGCTTTTAATTTAATAAATTATTGTTTTCTCTTAGGTCTGCAATAGTTTTCCTCCTTTCATTGATTATTTCCCGGGAACCCATAACAAGTTACTTAAAAACATTGCTTTGATAAAAAGTTTTATTTTGGAGAAAGTAAAAGAACACCAAGGATCAGTAGACATTAACAACCCTCGGGACTTCATTGATTGCTTCCTGATCAAAATGAAGAAGGTAAAATGTTAACAAAAGCTTAGTTACGTGACTGCTTGTGTATTTGTGATTCACTGACTAGTTCTGTGTTTACTAGGGATGTTTAACTGGTCAAGCAGAATTGCTTGAGAAGCACTTTAAGTTTTTATTGTATGCATGAATATCCAGTAAGCATCATGGAAAATATAAAATTAAATTGTTAAATAATTAGAGTACATAGACAAGATTGTTTACATAAAAATAATCTACCTAAACAATAAAGATGGCCAAATAGGAACAGCTCCAGTCTGCAGATTCCAGCAAGATCAACACAGAAGGCAGGCGATTTCTGCATTTCTAACTGAGGTACATGGTTCATCTCACTGGGATTGGTTAGACAGTGGGTGCAGCCCATTGAGGGTAAGCAGAAGCAGGATGGGGTCTTGCCTTACCTGGGAAGCACAAGGTGTCAAGGAACTCCCACCCCTAGCCAAGGGAAGCCATTTGGGACCCTGCCATGAGGGACGGTGCTATCTAGCTCATATACTACACTTTTCCCATGGTCTTCGCAACCCACAGACCAGGAGATTCTCTAAGGTGCCTATACCACGAGAACCCTGGGTTTCAAGCACAAAACTTGGTGGCCATTTGGGCAGACACCAAGCTAGCTGCAGGAGTTTTTTTTTTTTACACCCCAGTGACATCAGAAATGCCAGTGAGACAGAACTGTTTACTCTCCTGGAAAGGGGGCTGAAGCCAGAGAGCCAAGTGGTCTAGTGGAACCCACCCTTATGGAGCCTAGCAAGATAAGATCAGTGGCTTGAAATTCTCACTGCCAGCACAGCAGCCTGAAGTTGATCTGGGATGCTGGAGCTTGATGGGGGTAGGTTGTCCACCATTACAAGGCTTGAGTAGGCAGTTTTCCCCTCACAGTGTAAACAAAGCTTCCAGGAAGTTCGAACTAGGTGGAGTCCACTGCAGCTTGGCAAAGCTGTTGTAGCCAGACTACCTCTCTATATTCCTCCTCTCTGGGCAGGACATCTCTGAAAGAAAGGCAGGGGCTTATAGATAAAACTCCCATCTCCCTAGTACAGAGCACCTGGGGAAAGGAGTGGCTGTGGACACAGTGTCAGCAGACTTAAACATTCCTGCCTGCCAGCTCTGAAGAGAGCAGCAGATCTCCCAGTACAGCACTCAAGATCTCTAAAAGACAAATTGCCTCCTCAGGTGGGTCCCTGATCCCCATGCCTCATGACTGCGAGACACTTCCCAGCAGGGTTCAACAGACACCTCAGACAGAAGAGCTCTGGCTGGTGTCTGGCAGGTGTCCCTCTGTGACAAAGCTTCCAGAAAAAGGAACAGGCAACAATATTTGCTGTTCTGCAACCTCTGCTGGTGATACCCAGGCAAACAGTGTCTGGACTGGAGCTCCAGCAAACTCTAGCAGACCTGCAGAAGAGGGGCCTAAGTGTTAGAAGGAAAACTAACAAACAGAAAGAAATAGCATCAACATCAACAAAAAGGATGTCCACACAAAAACTCCATCCAAAAGTCACCAGCATCAAAGACCCAAGGTAGATAAATCCACAAAGATGAGGAAAAACTAGTGAAAAAATGCTGAACATTTCAAAAACCAGAATGCCTCTTCTCCTCCAAAGGATCACAACTCCTCACCAGCAAGGGAACAAAACAGGGCAGAGAATGAGTTTAATGAATTGACAGATGCAGGCTTCAGAAGGTGGGTAATAAAAAACTCCACCAAGCTAAAAAAGCATGTTCTAACCCAATACAAGGAAGTTAAGAACGTTGAAAAAAGGTTAAAGGAATTGTTACCTAGAATAACCAGTTTAGAGAATAACATAAATGGCCTGATGGAACTGGAAAACACAGCACGAGAACTTATACAAAACACATGCAAGTATCAATAGATGAATCAATTAAGCAGGAGAGAGGATATCAGAGATTGAAGATCAACTTAGTGAAATAAAGCATGAAGACAAGATTAGAAAAAAATGAATGAAAAGCAATGAACAAAACCTCCAAGAAATATAAGACTATGTGAAAAGACCAAACCTACATTTGACTGGTGTACCTGAAAGTGATAGGGAGAATGGGACCAAGTTGGAAACATTCTTCAGGATATTATCCAGGACAACTTCCCCATTCCAGCAAGGCAGGCCAATATTCAAATTCAGAAACTGTGGAGAACACCACAAAGATACTCCTTGAGAATAGCAATCCCAAGACACATAATCATCAGATTCACCAAGGTTGAAATGAAGGAGAAAATGTTAAGGACTTCCAGAGAGAAAACTCAGGTTACCCACAAAGGGAAGGCCATCAGACTAACAACAGATCTCTCAGGAAAAACTTTACAAGGCAGACGGGACTGGGGGCCAATATTATCATTCTTAAATAATGTAATTTTTAGCCCAGAATTTCATATCCAGAAAATCTAAGCTTCATAAGTGAAGGAGAAATAAAATCCCTCACAGACAAGCAAATGCTGAGAAATTTTGTTACCATCAGGTCTGCCTTACAAGAGCTCCTCAAGGAATCACTAAATATGGAAAGGAACAACCAGTACTAGCCACTGCAAAAACATACCAAATGGTAAAGACGATTGACACTATGAAGAAACTGTGTCAACTAATGGGCAAAATAACCAGCTAGCATTATAATGACAGGATCAAATTCACAAATAACAATATTAAACTTAAATGTAAATGGGCTAAATGCTCTAATTAAAAGATGTGGACTAACAAATTAGGAGTCTAAGTCTCTGTAGGTCTCTAAGAACTTGCTTTTCTTCAAAGGAGCTAAGGGGGATTTTGACAGGATTGCATTAAATCTGTAGAACAGAGAGTTATGCCATTTAAAAAATTGAAGTGAAATTCACATAACATAGATTAACCAGTTTAAAGAGTACACTTCAGTGGTATTTAATGTATTCACAATGTTGTGCAACCACCAGCTTTCTCTGATTTCAAAATGTTTTTATCACTCCACAAAAACATATCATATTGATTAAATAATCACTCCATTCCCTTACCACATCATGTAATAACCTCTAATCTTTCTGTCTCTATGAGATTGCCTGTTATGGCTATGTAAAGGACTCATAGCATATGTAACCTGTTATTTCTAGGTTGTTTCATTTATAATGTTTTGAAGACTCATCTAAGTTGCAGCATATATCAGCACTTCATTCTTTTTTGTGGCTGAAAAATATTCCATTTTCCATGCACATATATCACAATTTGTTATTCATCTGTTTATGGACATTTGCATTGTTTCCAACTTTGGGCTCTTATAGATAATTCTGTGTTGACCATTGTGTATGTTTCTTTATGGGCATGTTTTAATTATTCTTGGGTATATTCTCAGGAGTTGAGTTGCTGGGTCAAATGGTAATTTTATGTTTATCTTCTTGTATAAGAGTCAAACTTTTCTACAGTGAATGTGGCACTTTATATTCCTTCCAGCAATGCAAAAGGATTTCTATTTTTCCACATAGTTGCTAATACTTGTAATTTTCTGTATTTATTAAAGCCATTCTAGTGAATGCAAAGTGGTATCTCAATGTGAATTTATTGATTTATTTAGAGACAGAGTCTCACTCTGTTGCCCAGGCTGGAGTGCAGTGGCATGATCTCAGATCCCTGGAACCTTGCCTCCTGGGTTCAAGCAATACCCCTGCCTCAGCCTCCAGAGTGGCTGGGATTACAGGCATGCACTACAACACCTGGCTAATTTTTATGTTTTTGGTAGAGATGGGGTTTCACCATGTTAGCCAGGCTGGTCTAGAATGCTTGACCTTAGGTGATCTGCCCACCTTAGCCTCCATAAGTGCTGGGATTACAGGTGTGAGCCACCACACCCAGCTCTCATTGTGGTTTTAACTTGTATTTAATGACCAGTGATTTTGAACTTCTTTTAATATATGATTATTTATTTGTATATCTTCTTTGGAGAAATGCCATTTAAGTCCATTTTTTATTTAAATTAAGTTGCCTTTATTTTTCTTTTTAAACTATTAGAATTGTTTATGTATTCAAATCATTAAACTATCACATATACATAATATAAAAATATTTCCTCCCATTCTGTCAGTGGTTATTTCACATTCTTAATTATATTCTTGTTGGACAAAGTTCAATTTTGATGAAGTTTGGTTTATCTATTTTTTCTTTTGCCACTCTGGTATCAAATTTATAAATCTATTACCAAATATTAAGTCATGAAGATTTACTCCTATGTTTTATTCTGAGAGTTTTATAGTTTTGGCTCTTATATTTAAGTTTTTCCAGTCATTGTTAGTTATATTTTTCATTTGGAGTGAGCTGGGGAAGGTTCCAGCTTCATTCTTTTACATTTCATCATCCAATGGTCTTATCATCATTTATTGAAGATATTTTTTCCTCAGATTGAATGGTTTAGGCACCCTTGATAGCAAAGTAAATTGGCCATAGATGTTTAGGTTTATTTCTTGATTTCAGTTTTATTCCATTGGTCTTGGTGTCTATATGCTAGTAACACACTGTTTTGATTATTATACTTTGTAGTAAGTTTTGCAGTTGGAAATTGAGTACTCGCTGATACAGAAATTAAGAAGAAATTACTTAGGGAGATAGTAAGCATTTGGGAGTCCTTGGTAAGGTTTCTCTTTTTAATGCAAAGCAGCCCCAAATCATTTTCTAACAAATAGTAGCCTGTACAATCGAGCCGCACCGCTTCACCCTCAGTGCCAGTGTGGGTGACCTCAAACTCCGCCGGATGCCAGAGGTGCCTAGTCTGCAAAGTTCACCCTTCTGCTGGACTGTGCTGTGCCAGGACCGAGTGGCACACATTCTTCTGTCTGTGGTGCCTGATCTATACCTCCTGGACCATGCAGCCTGCTCCACAGTGACCCCCCTGGCCTGGCCCCAGGAGTAAGCAGCTTCCCACAGATGGCTGTCTCCTTCACCTACCGACATCTGGCACTCTTCACAGGCAGAGGCTACATCTGAATGGGGACGGCATCACTCAAGGAGAAGCTGTGT